TGGGTGGGTGGGTGGGTGGGTAGGCAGGCAGGCAGGGAGGGAGGGAGGGAGGGAGGGAGGGAGTCAGGGAAGGAGTTAGGGAGATAAAACAAAAGACAAGTAGGCAGACAGACAGGTGATGCATGCGTGGATGGGTGGATGGGTGGATGGATGGGTGGATGGGTGGATGGGGGGATGGGGGGATGGGGGGAGGTAGATAGGTAGACACAGACAGATAAATTAGCATAAGATCTGAGCTGTGGCCACAGAGAGAAAGACAGAGAGAGAGAGAGAGATCCAGCATACGTTGGTCGTGCGGGTTGGCCCGTACAGTTGTGTGCTGTGCGTCTAATGTTGCCGGCAGGCCGAGCAAGTTTAACTTTGATCTATCTGTAACCTCTGACATTTGCTTGGTTCTCAAAGTCTGGTGAACTGAAATTAGGAGTGAACAGTGCTCCTACGGGCAAGACCTCGCACACCCTCCCAAGTCCCCGGGCCCAAGCAGTTTTAAAAGCGTCAACTCATGACATGGACCGTTGAACTGTCGATTGGCTGGGTCTGGTGCTGGGCTGGTGGTGCTACATTAAACAGCAGTAAGAGTAACATCAGCTTCGATCCCAACACCCTTGGAATTGCAACTCCAGGCTCTGGCGCACAGATCTTTCGCACCAACTCCATCTCCTTCCAAGGGATGCCAAACAAGACTAGTCCTTTCGGCCTTCAGCAGAGCAACTGAGGTCCCTGGTCTTCCAACACGCAAGGATGCATTGCACCAGCTTATCCAAACAGATTCTAGAATCCGATTCTGGGGAGCCAGGAGGGGCTCTAGGCTCGAGTCGCGCAGTCAAAGCATCCAGTCTCTACGAAACAACTGATGAAGAAGGGGTCTCGGCCATGGTGGGCTTGAGCAATTCCACGCAAAGGACTTTGCATTCGCAATCCGATTGAGTAGACCTTCATGGGAGCACGATTGGCCTGACAGACCACGAACTGCATTGAGCTGGGAACGCGAGTCTGTGGTGGCAGCACGATTTTTGCGAACCGGAGACACGAGTCAATGGAAAAGACGAGACGCACCCAAAATGCGCGCGGGACTGCGTGCGGCAGCGGGAGCACGATTGCCCCTGCGAGGACTTCAGCAAGTTCGAGCGATCTGTCGGCTGTGCTGCGGGAGCGCGCTTCAATCAAGTTCAGAAGCCAAAGGACTGGAATTTACTCTAGTTCGGGCTGAGCGAGCAGAACTGTGAAAAGGACACGAATGTAGTTGGAAATGCAAGTCGAAACCCCGACCGAATCCCTGTACCCTGAACATAACCACCCTACAGGGTCATGAGCGACCACAGGAAACTCCGACCTTTGCTACACGCGCATGTTCACATGGTCTCCGCGTGGCGCGTGACGTCGCCACTACCACCACGTTTGGCGGCCACGACCGACTGGTTGTGAGCCTCCATGGAGTCTGAGCAACGGTGCTTGAACAAGGGTACAAGAATCTCAACAGCCTCAACAGCAAAGGAACAAAATTCAAAGTCGTCCACCAAACCACCCTCTTTATCTGCCTGATGGCACACAATGCACGACATCTTTTCTAGCTTGGGCTGTCCGGGACTTGACAATGCAAAATCTGATGACCATGCAGGGATAAAAACAGTGTTGGTGTCCAACCCACGGAAAGTTTGCGTCACCTTCCCGGAATGAACTGTACATGCACCTACACATATACATAGGCATAGACATCGAGAAAAACATGATATATATATATATATATACATACATGCATACATATGCATATTTTATATATATATATATTTATTTATTTATTTATTTATTTATTGATTTGTTTATTTATTTGTAAATATATATATATATATGCATATACAAACATCTTTCTCTCTATCTACCTATATACACATATACATGCAGATATGTACAAATCTGTAGACTTGAGCAAAGCCCCGCAAGCCGACCCCGAACATGTAACATCCGTCGTGTCCTCGCGAAAATGCGCATAACCAAGATGCAAACACGAAGTGCATGCGACCCACGCACGAGCGTCTACCAACACATACACTTACAGGTGTGCGTGTGTACATGCATGCACACACATACATACATGCCCATACGCATGTACATCCGTACATACACACATACACACCTCCATCCAGGCATCCATCCAGGCATCCATCCATCCATCCATCCATTGAATCATCCATCCGTCCATCCATCCATCCATCCATTGAGTCATCCATCCGTCCATCCATCCATCCATCCATCCACCCTTCCAGGCATGCGTTTAGACAGATCGATAGATAGACAAATAGATAGATAGATAGATAGATAGATAGATAGACAGAGAAATAGATAGATGGATATAGATGGATGAGTGGATATATGGAGGGATGGATGGATGGATAGATAAACAGGTAGATAGATACGTAGACAGATAGACAGATAGATAGACAAATGGATAGATGGATAGATGGATAGATGGATAGATGGATAGATGGATAGATGGATAGATAGGTTGATTGATTGATAGATTGATAGATTGATAGATTGATAGAGTAGATAGAGTAGATAAATATCCAGAAAGATGGATAGACAGATAGATATGGATAGAACAGATGGACAGATAGAAAGTTAGGCAAGTAGACAGGTAGGCAGATGGAAAGACAGATGCATAGACAGAAAGCCGCAGAGGCAGAGACAGATACGTAAGCACAAACAGAAGCGAGTGTAAGTAAGTGTAAACTTGGTGCAAACATACATATGTGTATACATTCAAACTAAAGGTAACTATGGATACATGTAAGCATACATGTGACCGTGCATGTGTATGTATATATATATATATACACATATGTGTGTGCGTATGTATGTATACGCACATGTATGTACGACGGTTAACCCCAAAACCAAAAGCGTAAAAGTACTCTGCACCGAGAGTACTCTGCCTCTGCCAGAATCTTGCCCTCGGCATCAGCCAGCACCGCGCCGAACGGCATGTGGCCGCTCTTCGCGGCATCCTCCCAAGAGCAAAGTGCTGAACTCTTGAGTCTTGATCGTGTTGTTATTGTTGATGCAAAAGCCTTGGCGGGCTTACAGAGGCTTACAGACTCTATGAATTCACGAGTCAGGATTTGAACCCTTTGTTCGCAGGCTCAGGGGCAAGGTCCTCGCTCAATTTGATGGCCGCCACCATGCAGGCTTCATCATGTGGCCGCGCCATGGAAAACCAGGGACTGCTCCAAGCAAGCAGTCCGAAGATCTGTGCAAGAAACAGGACAGCTTTGCTGAACAATATGCTGGCTCGGGCTTGTTATCATGCTCGACCGCCAGATGCCAGCGTGCCAGTAGGCCCTCGGGAGTAGCTGAACTGATGCCGGCACCCTTCCCGCAGAGCGCTTGCATACGACGCTGAAGCCGAAACAGCTGCACACCGTCATACAGCCATGCTTCAGCATCATGTCTCCAAAGGGCTGGCATTTTCCAAATAATACCGCTGTTGGTTCACTCGCTTCCAGACAGAGCCGGCGTTCGAAAGTGTGACTCAGGGGCCGAATGGATGCAGGTTCTGCATGACTACTCCTCATTATGGCAGACCCTAAGCAGGTTGTGGGGTAGCAAAGGCGCCGCGTCATACAGTATTTGCGGCCAGTCCAGGACATGATGAGCCGCGCTCGACATCCACTGCTTGAAGACGGCAACCGTCATGCTTCAATTAAGAACTGAATCATTCAGTGACGGTCGCAAAGCATCGCCGACTGTGGCCCTGAAGAGGTTCCTAGCTTCGTACATCGCGGATGGCAAACCAACCTTGACATCGCAAGTTCCGTGAAGGAAGGTTGTAGGCTCAACACCGGCTACGGGCGGGCGGCGCCAACAAGACTTCTCTATCTCAGTGACTAGAAAGATTGACGAAATCCAAAACTCTTAAAGAATGCCTCTTTCAATCCGAACTGAATTCAATGCCAAACCCTGAAACCTGTGGCCATGCCTCTTTGCTGTAGAGGGTACTGCCAGTGTAGTACATCTCGAAGGGCTGCGCAGAGTGTTTGCTTCAGGCTCCAAATGTTGGGAAAATCCTGATTTTATTGCTTGGCAATATTGCTTGCCCCTCCGTGATTTCTTCTTTTGTTACGTATGTTATGTTATAACATACAACAAAGGCCTAGGTAGCCGAAGAAGCAGTGAACTGGCTTGGAAAAGCCAGAGGGCTATGCCACCTTTGTGGACCTAGAGCATTGACGCAAGCCTGTCAGGCAAACGCACCGTCGACTTGCATACCCCTTTACAGTGAGTATGGTTATGAACTTCGAGTCTGCGAGATGGCACAAATGAAGGCTGTCTGCAGCATCCCCAATACCGTAGTGCGCGTATGTGCGCGTACTGGGTGTGAAGCCCGACCTTAACCTTTACTCTGTGCAGAAGCCAAAGGGTCCCTTGCAATTCCACCGTGGGCGACCTTTGTCCCACTTCCCGCTCTTTGCGCTTGTGCCTGCCGTCCAAGAAGCAAGTGTGATCGTGCGAGTAGGGCGCAGGAAGCGTGCAGGCAAATCTAATTCCATCAGGATTTGACCTGTTCACGTCCCGGCTCAGGGTCAGCAGAATCATCATCATCAACATCATCAGGATCCTCATGCTCATCACCATCAATGGGCAGCATCATCGTAACCAGACCCTTCCCTTCAACTGCAGACAAAGGTATTGCCAAGCGCTGGAAAGCCCGGCCTTGAACCGAGATACCTATGTCCGGGAAGCACACTATGGCTCGACCCGGCGCTGTAAGCTCTACCCAAACCCGACACATGCCCACATCCCTGTGAGCTTTGCAGCTGAGGCCGTTGCTTCTCGAAACTCCTGCAGGCATGCTGCAGCATGCTACTCAGCGGCTGTCGAAGTTCAGCCTGCTCCGAATTTCTGAATAGCCTTCACAGATCGACACAGTGGTGTTTCGGGCTGAGAGTGTGAACCTGCATTGATTGGAGGGCTAGGCTAGGTACAGCGTCTTTGTTGATGTAAGTGCATCTCGAAGCCAGGAAACTCATCCATAAGCCTTTCTCTTCTGGCAAGCTTGTTTGCCCTCGTGGCCGGCGAACGCAAGCACATACGAAGCTTCGGGGTCGGTCCTTGAGGATAGGCATGACCTCGCACCAGACAGTCAGAAACCCAAGGCCCTAAGCCCTGTCTGGCTCAAGGAGTGGAGATACCAACGTTTGATGCAAGAGATGACGAGGTGTTGGTAGATGTGGACAGACGCACAATTGCTTGGGCGGGCCTGTCTCTGTCTCCGTCTCTCTGCATTGTGTGTGATGAGAAACTACGACATGTTTTAAGTACAGTTCCACGGCTTATCCATACTAGTGCACTGCCATATCGCCATTCGCACTTCAATTTCTATATATGTGTTCCGTGTAACTTGTCTTCTGTACCAAGATGTATTCACACATTTCTGTACACTTAATTACACACGAATCATCCCGACATGCTCCCATGAATGAATACATTATGTGCACACATAACCTGTTGTCTGTAGCAAATGGCAGGAATCAGCAAAGGCAATGGCCCAAGCTGAAGGGAATCAAACCCCCCCAGCCAGAATTCCTGAACCATCCTGAACCCTAAGCCTCAAACCTTGAGGCACGTGAAGCCCTAAACTGAACCTGAAACCTAAACTCTTGAACTCGAAAAAACTACAGACACGCAAAACTCAGACGTCTGCGGCTTCGTTCAAGAAGGTGTCCCAGGTTTGGCGCATCTCCTCTAAGACCTTGGCATCTTGGGATTTCAAGGGCATGGCGACAGGCCTAAGGACTTTGTGCTCTTCGTTTCGTTTTCCAGCATCTTCCGCATCAGGACTTCCAGGTCGCGAACGAACTGGACACGCACCGTGCATTCCACTGATCAGGAAGCAAGGACAGAAGCGAGGATACCCCGCGGAGAAAAGGCCCTGGCAACTCCTTGTTCAGAAGATGACATGAGGGAGGTGCAGCAATACCACCTGGAAGCTCGGGGCGAGAAGAAGCAGCGAAGCAACAGAGCCTTTGCTCTTCGAGCATCTGCACACATCTGCAAGTCTGGCTAGGATTGGTCGTGTTGTAGCGTTCGGCAGCTCTCGAAGGCTGTGTCAGCTTCCAACCGACAGGCCAGGCCGGCTTGAAGCGGAAACAGCTTCTTATTCTTCGGAGAGGCCTCAGCTGTGCTTCAGCTGTTCAGCTCTTCACGAGACTTGACGAGTCGGGGCGGAGAGTCCAAGGCTCGGGCTGTCCATCTTCGTAGTCTGCATCGACGATGATGTCCTTGACATTGTGCTCCTGGCACCGATCCCGAGACAACCCTTGCCTCGAGTTCGCGTACTCTGTCGCTTTATCTTTGGTAGCTGCCGTCAAGCAATTAATGTCAACTCCTGATTACGAAACCCCCTGTGATTAATGGCAACCCGCGGGGGCCTCGAACCTGGCTGAAACCATGCTTTAAAGGCGCTGGCCTATTCCACCAAACTCCCCCGTTGGGAAAAAAAAACCTTGACAAAACCCCCCCCCTCGATTAATGGCAACTCATGAAGCCTCCCCAATTGAATTATAGTCTTCAGGCTTGGCGTGGGCTTGGGATTCTGGCTGGATGTTTTGTTAATTTCAAATTATTTGGGGGGGGACGTTTTGGGTTATCGGTCGACCTACCTTGGCGGGGGGGAAAGGGGGGGGGGGTTAATCAAATCTGCGGCAATTTGGGTGCCCTGAACCACCAGGTGCCTCCATCAGGGCCACAGCAACCTGCGGAGCCACCTGCAGGTGACGTCGGGTCGAAGCGTTGTCATGCATGCTCGCCGTTTCGAGGCCCTGCCTTTTCTCTGCCACCCGCATCGTAGACCAGCATGCTGGGCACCTCGGAGCATGTTTCAGAGCCGTTTACGCTCCATTGAAGCAGACCCATGGCAGCCAAGGCACCACATCGGGTCCTAGAACCATCGGGGATGGAAAGACGTAGTTGACCAAGGAGATGCCCTGTTCGCAGAGCGGCTTGTCCTGGGCAGAGCAAGGCTGGCACTGGCGACTGAGGGCGCTCAAGACTTAAGAGCACCATCCGCTTCCCAGCTTGTGATTCGGGTCTGCAGCATGAACTGGGATGAACCTGCATAAAGAGTTCTCGCTCACTTTCTAAACTTGTGAGTTCATGCACGAACGCTCTATTGTCTTTTCTTCGCCAGGTGTGGCGGTACCCTCAGCCACAGAATCCACTGCTCGAACATCCATGGAACAGCACTCAAACTGCTGCAAACGTGCTGTCAGAATTCGCTGCGCTTGCCATGAAAGATCATGACCGCAGCTATACAGGGGTTGCTTTCAAGTCAATGACTCCAACAATACTCGATCTAACGAAGCCACTAGTCACCAGACCCCAAAGCCAACATCTTCCTGGCACTCAAGGTGCGGCTCTACGTGTACTGTACTGCAGATCTTGTGCCTGCAAGCCGTGCCTTCGAAACCCTGACAATGAGAAGAGCACGGCGAGGGCATGTTCTGCTCAGAAGCGTGATCAACGTCCCGGCTGGGCGGTGATCAACACGGACGTCTCCGAAACCTGGGAGCTTTCAGACGTGCAAGATAGTCCAGCAGAAGTGTGACTGGAGGTGTCACTCTGATCACAAGGTACGTCGAATGCAGCACATTGTTGGCAAAGGGAGAGGAGGATGGCTTGCTTCTTGAGGAGCAGGTGACCCGCGCCACAGAACACCAGTCCATCCAAGAAGCTGTCGAGCGCAAAGCCAGAGAAGGAGTGTGCCTTCAGCCCAGTGGACTCCGAAGTCGAAAAATGCAGAGTAAAGAGCCAAGCAAGCAATTGGACCATAGTGAGCGTCTGGACCAAGGACATCACTAACGACAGCCGGTCTTTCACATTCTCGGCACGCCGGCTTCCCTCCAAGGTTGCAGCGAGCGATTGGACAGCCACGAGCGCACAAAGGGAACCCGAACAGAAGAGGCCCAGGTGCATGGCCTGCTGGCTGGAGACTGCGGAGAACCCAAGCTGCAGCCAGCTCACCGCCAAGAGCACTGCGACAGGTGCGACCTCCCGCACACTGGCGCCAGCTGCGCGGCCAAGGGCCAGGGCCAGCGGAAGGCAGGCGCCCGCACGACCCAAAGACAGACCCAAGGCTGGGTCTAAGTGATCTCCCAGGATACCCAGCCGTGCACCGGCGAGCAGGAAGGAGCTGCCAGCGAAGAAGATGTGGAAGACCTGCGTTCGAGCGCAGCCCTCGTCTTTCGCCTGCCCCTTCATGAAGTCCACTCCAGCACTGACGAAACGGAAAGCAAAGGCGAGGAAGACAACACTCGCCAGAGCCAAGGAAACAGTCGCCCCGCGACTCAGCACGGGCACAGGGCTGTACGTGCCCAAGTCGTGCGTTTGCCAGTTGATGCTGAGCAACGAAGGCCACGACGTTCCGTTTGCCCACCAGCTGCGGTTGGCAGATGCTGGGCTGACTACCACGTGCTCTGAGACGGCCATCGCGTCAGCTGAGCTGCGAGATGAAGTCAACTCTGGATGCAAGTTCTAGAGCTCGAGCTCTGTGCAGCAGCTTAGAAGCCAGGATCAGGCATTCCGAGACATGTTTCACCCAGCAGTGATGCAGCTTTCCACCCCACCCAAACTTTCAACTCGTCGCCCAGACGTTCTCGGAGCATGTCTCTTAATGCAGCTCAGGTTCAACATCATCTGACCTATTGCAAAGCTGCTGCCACCTTAGCAGGCAAGCATGCGCATTCCCGTCAGTTCCCGTCTGCAAAGGAGCTGCTGGCACTGCAGCAGACCGAGGTGTAAACAAGGGAAAACGCTCGTCAGCAAAGCCGAGGCTGATGCATCGGAGTGCTGCGTAGCCTCCTCTCCAATGACATTACCTGGCGAATGACACACGCTTTGGCGAAAGGGCTGGATTATGATTATGCCCATGGAATCAGGAATTGCACCGACGAAGCTTCATATGGAAGAAAGACTTCGTGAATTTTCCGAAATCCATACCAGGGTCGAGACCCTGCATATGCAATGATGAATCTGGACTCGCATGCTCGAACCCCAGGACATCCTGCAACAGCAGCTAAGCAAGGCACTGCAGACTTGCCGGCAGCACAGAATACAGATGCCCAGAGTCCAGCCATCCATTCGGGCCGGCATTGGTACCCTCGGGAAAGTCGTACCTCGTTTGCTCCCATCTCTGAATCCCAATGCCAAAACCAAAAACGCAACTGAAGCGAAAGTACCTACAGATAGGAACGGGGAAGCTTCTTGCTCTAACAACCCATGTAAGAAGTCAGAAATTGCTATTTCCTCAATCTCTGATGCTATGAAGACTTCGGTGCCGGGCCGCGTCTTTTCAAGAACGTCAAGTAACGAATCAGCAGAAACAAGCATGACAAAAAAGAATCTTATGCATTTAGGCAGCTGCGAGAGAAGACTTTGAACATTCCTCACGAAAACCGCCTTCAAAAATCTAAAGAATCCAAGTTCAAGGCAGGAGATCTAAACAAAGCCGACCGTCTCGCAATTTCTGGCTAGGGAAGCAGGTCAGTCACACAGTGATCAAGCTCACGGACATCCCTGAAAAGCATGGAGGCCGGGTCACGCCAAGAAAATGTCGCTGTGCTTGTAAAGCCTGTTACCTGTCGAATGTGCTGCACTTTTGCAGTTGGAGTCTTGCAGAGTCTCGGAGCACCAGGGTATTTGCGACTGCCACAGTTGGCATCTGGTTCTCCTTGCAAGTCGATGCAAAAGCAAGCTTGCTTCGTCTGCAAGTTTGGGCCTGACTCCTGAAGCCATCCTGCAACTACAAGTCCACGCAACCCACCCACCCTATGACCCAGCCAGCACATGCAATCGTCTCAGGGCATGCACTAATGATGCTGATGATGATGGTTGTGGCGGTGATCCTACGTGATGGTGACCCTGATGATCTTGATGCCGTCCTGACGGTCTTGGTAATGGTGATGGTGATGTTGGCGGTGAAAATGACTGCTCCGGTGATATTGATAGTGGTGTTTATGACGATGCTCATAATGGTGCTGATGCGGATGGGTTCAACTGGCCGGTGACAGACAGCGCTATCAGATTCAAGCGGCTATCACCAACAGGCCTTGGAGCCGGCGGTCTTCGACCAGCTCAGTCTCCTGCCAGGGCCGCCAAGGACTCACGACACCCTTCGGAGGGCTTCGGAGGCTATGGGTTCATGTCTTCTTTGGCTTCTTGCTCATCAGTTCTGCGGCAACCGCTATTCCTCGACAGGCTTCGACTTGCTGACAAATAAACTCGGGAGTCCAGTGCGATCTGCAAAGAGGACTGAAATCGAGAACCAGGATGGAGGCTCAGACGCGGAACCGAAACAAGTACTGCCATGGGAAGTTCCATCCTGTGGGTCAGACCTTGGACAATGGCTTATATGCAGTCCTCCGTAAGCCTCCGCTCGGTTTGCCGATGCTGAAGTGCAAACCTGACAAGACTGGATATCGAATAGCAGATGTAAAGTTTGGTTGATACCATCTGCTTACTGCAGTCGTTGTATACTTTCTGCTTGCCGCTGGTCGCTGGCTGTTGTGCTGAACAGCTGCAAGGTGAACCTAGAACTGCAATCCACCGAGAAGGGTAACAAATGCAATGCACAGTGACCAGACCGGAGCCCGGGCAGGAAGACGTCCCGCATCGTGGACGTGTTCACGTCCGTTTTAAGGAACCTTGGCCAACAGGCTATGTCTCCGACTCCGAAGGTGCGACCTTGTAGAGCTGGCGAGCACAATCGAAGGACAGACTGAGCTCTTCATCTCGAGCGGCTTGTTGGAACAGTCCGCAAACATCTGCGAATACCAGGCCAAAACTCTTTTCCATGTGCTTCCGATGCATTGGAACACAGGGTTGCGTCCTCAAGGGATGCCCGGCTGCTAGGCCCAGCCAGCCCGCAATTCCTTAGCCTGAGATTCTTGCGCTGACCAGTCCACATCCACGTTGGGAGGTCTCGCGACCTTGGTTCGGTTCTCGTAGATGGTCCAATCATGGCATCTACCCGGATTACATGCATCGTCTTCGCATGCCTCACGACGGCTTATATCAATGGTGCTGTGCATCTGCAGACCATTCGGCACAAATGCAGCTGGCTGACGATTAAAACTCACGACTACTTTGAACTTCCTGCAAGATGTCTGAGGCGGCGAAGTAAGACTGGAGCCATGCCCCCAGCAATGATTGCAATGACAAGGAGCATCCCAGTGCACACCTGAGCACGAAGCACTCTCAGCACTGCCTTGCTCTGGGAGCACAGAACTGCAGTCAGCCTGCGGCCTCATTGGATGACATTCGCGATTTTACCGGCACGCAGGTAAGGAAACACCCCGGAAAACAAGTTTCCCCAGGGTCGCCCTTCGTGACAAATCTGGTCAAATCATCTGTGTGCCCACCTTTGTCTGAGCTGCTACGAAACCCTTTGCCACCAATCAAAGGCTGCCGCACAGCACATGGGTGCCCGAGCGAGTCCTGGCTGGGCGTCAACCAAGCTTTGCAGGTTCCGACTGTTCGATGCACGGTTCCACCCGTCCTCGATGCGTTATCCAGGCCACAAAGGTCACAAACGGCGTGCCACTAAAGTCCTGAGTTGCCCAAGGATGGATCAGATCTCAATACTTCTCCATTTCCGGCTACCATGTAACTATCCCACACCCGGCCGCTTCTGCGCGCTTCCGGTTCCGCATGGCTGACAATGGCTGACATGAAGTAAATGCGAGCTCGGCCGATGACTTCGATTTCCTCCTCCAGCAGCTTGCTCTGCTGCTGCCTTTCGCGGCCAACACGGCATACTTTGAGGCAGAAGCATGACACAAGAGGGGGTGAAGCCCTTTGGCATCTAAAAAACCTTCGTGGGAGGTTGTGCTGGCATTGCTTAGCAGAGTGAGTGCAGTTGCAACAGCAGCTGTTGCTCGCAGCAGGGCATACATCGTGTATAACTGGTACCACTGATTTGGCATAATGCAGGAATCAACAACTTCATTGCGCTCCCCGGAAGACGCCCGGGTGAAGATGTCCAGCGCCTGTAGGCTTCTGAAGCAGTGTCCTGGCACCATCAGGACGGTAACGCTCTCCGAGTTCATGAGAGCCAACTGACCCTGTTTGGTTTTGGCCTCTAGCCCTATCTTAGAACTGCTCCCAGGTCATCGAGCCCCGCACAAGCCACACCACCGAAGCTGAGTTACGTAAGGGTCACGACACTGCACCGTGGGGAGCAAGGCTCAAACTGCGATGGTCGCCTCGACCGCCTTAGGCTTTTGCTTCTTGCGCGGCACCTCCGTCAGAGGCTTCGGGGCTTAGGCCATGCGGCCAGGAACTGGCATGCGAATTCAAAGGGAGGGCAAATCCAGTGGCTGAAGGCGTGTTCGGAAGCGATGTGGCTGCAGCAACTGCTGAAGAAAATACTGTATGTAAAGAACTTCACTAGAGCTCCCGGTCAGAAGGTTAGGGTTGACGCCGCCAGGCAAGACCATGACGGCCTCTGTCTACCTTGTCAACATGCTCACCTCAGACAGCGAACGCCTCCAAAGCGATCAGAAGTAATGACACACCCGTATCCTCAACCTTCTTCGCAGCCAGGCTAACAGACGTGATATCAAAATTTCGAGCTAGGGCTCAACCAAACTTCGCGAACCTTCTCAAATCGTTACCCAGCCTTGCTGCAACAACAAGCGAAACATCTTCGCCGTTGCTGCTGTTGACCTGCCCGCATGTCTCAATGCCCGTTTGGTAGAACTGAGATTCCTTGGGCAAGACTGGTCGACAAGATTATGCCAGTGTCTAGTTGAGGATCTTGTCGGGATTCTAAGCTGGACATTTGCTCTTCTCTAGAAGCCGACAACGGGCCAGGTCTCCCGCAGGGTGAAGCATGATGCCTATACTACTCAGAAAGCTTCTGCACGTCATAAGGTAAGGCACCGTAGGCCTGTAGGCAGCGAAAATGAACACATGCTGAATTTACAGTCCAGCACGCATTACCACAATGTCTCAGAGCGTGCCGAAGCAGTCTAACGACAATCGCAGACATGCCCAAGACACAACATCATCTTGTGACAATTTTTCAAGCTTGCATCGTGCCTTCTGCTGAGTCCTCTTCGGGCCTGGGTTGGTGAATATGCACGACAGCGTCACGGTCACGGCTGCTTGGACCACCAGTCGAAATACACCCTCTGTCTCCCAAGCAACCGCCCCGAACAGATGTAAACCGGTGAGTCTCCGAGCTCGGCTGCAAAGGCCACGGGCGCAGCTCTTTCAGTCTTGACTCCTATTGCCATCCGCTTTCAGGTCGGTTCTGGGATTTTTCCTGGGATGACAGCCGCCTCTCTCGTGGGAAACACGACAACTCCCCTTGGCTTGCGCTTCGACCTGTAAGTCACTGCAATTTTTGTGCAGTACGCTGCATCTCCACGACACGATTTCTCCTTGAATCCAGGCCGGCGCTCCAACCAAACGTCACTCAACCGGTTCGCGACCCGATCGCAGACTCCGCATCCGCCGAAACATGATTCGAACAACCACCCACACTATGACATCGATTGTCTGCTTCGCTGGGGTGTCGGCTCTGTGTCTGGATCCACTACGACGGCGACATCGACCTCCAAGGCAGCTCTGCTTCAGAATATGAGCAGACAGGACACGTGACTTGTTGGGGCTGAGTGCTTGGACTTCGGAACCTGCTGCATCGCTCAAGTCTCTGTACTGTCACCTCTACCGCCGGATCCCTGCGATTCACATTTAGCTCTCCCCTGCCTGGGGTTCCTCAGGGATAGTTGCCGGATGCGCATCCTGGAAAGGCAGAATCCAAAACCTACCTTTGCTCTGTCAAATCTAAGTCTGTGTCACACGGCCTTGCCGTGCCGAACGGTGTAAAAAATGAGCTGGAGACAGTTCTGTGGGTTTTCATGACCAGCTGGTTTTGCGGCTTCGAGTTGCAGTTCTGGCTCTAGGGAAATCATGTTCCTCGGTGTCTACTTCTGCACATCTTACACAACTGGGCTGGCCTGTTGGATTTTTGATTCGTGGCCACTGGTTGCAGTGGGCGCTTTGCCACTTTGCTGAAGTGAAAGGCACTGCTGCATCATGCCCAAAGTAGAAGCGAGCGAGAGCTGATTTGGAGATCGTTTGACTTCATCGAAAAGGATGGCAGTTCGACGAAAAGACTCTCTCAATGATTAGTAGGGCACCACATGCTAACCCCTAGCCTGCAACACAATTGACGAAGCTTACGACTGAAAATGCTTGAGGAAATGGTTTCCACCCGAAACACCACTTCTCTGCAACCAAATACGAAAAAAACAAACTGTGCTTGACGACAAGGGGAGACGGGGAGGGGAGGCGCAAAGCCTTAATCCCTACCCCGCAAAGCCAGAACGCCACCAATACCTGTCTATGTCATCTACATTTTCTAACGTAACTTTACTTATCCACTTCCTTACCATGGTGATATGCGCAGGTACATGGATGCACAAATAGATCTATGCCGAAATGTCTATGTATGTATGTGCACATAAACAATAGGAGATGTGTATATATGTATATGTACATACAGATGTGTATATATATATATATATATATGTGTGTATGTATATGTATATGTATATGTATATGTATGTGTATGTGTATATGTAATGTAATGTAATGCAATGCAATGCAATGCAATGTCATGT